GATAAAAAATGGTGCACTTGTGAAAGGCACTTACCATGACTGCAGCTTTACAGTGCTGGAAGTTTCTCTGGGTAGGTCAGTGAGTGAGTGGTAAATAAATGTACACTGCAATAGATTTTATAAACACTGTACACCAGCATTACCACAGACATGTGCACTGTGATGTTGTGACTAGTGTGATGTCACTAGGCAACAGGAATTTTTCAGCTCCATTATAATCTTAAGGGGTCACCATAGTATATGTGGTCTGTTATTGACTGAAACATTCTGAGGTGCATGACTATAATAGGATTTGAAATCTTTATCATCAAGAACTATTTATATAATCTCAGATCAGGCAAGGTCCTGGCAGGAATATTTATAATTGTTTATGTACGGAAAAGTGGCTGGACACTCCAGTTTCTATTGAATAATAATCAGGTACATAAAATATGGTGCTAAATGTTAAAGATTCCAGAGGTCGTTTCTGGGTAGTAAGACAGGCACTTTTGTAGCATTATTTAGAAAATTTCTAGTTTAATCACACTTCAGATAATATAGGAAGAGCCTATTGGTATCACAAAAGCAAGTTAGTAGTTTAATATAGTAGGTACTTGGCTGACAGTTTTATACATGGTGTCTCATTTAGTCCTCACAACAAGCCCTCAGGGTAACTACCTTGATAATGGTATTATTTCCATTTTGCAGGTGAGGAAAGTGAGGCTCAGAGAGATTAAATAATTTACCCAAAGTAACACAGCCAGTATGTAGCAGAGCTGGGATTTGAATCCAAGTCTGTCAGACTCTAAAGCCCATGCTCTTTCCAGTACTTCACACTGCAGCAGGTAAGTATGATACTTGGCCCTGTGCTTGCCTTACTTAGGGTACCCCAAACTTGAGCCTGTTTCCATCACCTAACTATCCAGCTCCTAGTCAGACTGTAAGAACATGTGACTTGGGCCAAGATCAATCCTTGTGCATCCTGATTGCAGAGATACTTGTCAGTTCTTTCTGGACATTGCACTTATTCTTCCATGAGGAAGAATGTGCATTTTTGCTTTCAAAATATTTCTTCCCTTGTAGTATAGCAGCAAAAGTTGTCTCTGGAATTTGCTCACAGGGATATTCAACCTTGTTGTTTAAAGCATCATTCATACTCTAGGATCTAAGGCTGCATAGCCAAGGGACCATGGGAAGTTCTTTGGCTTTTTTTTTTTTTTTTTTTTTGTAGGGAATGGCTGTTCCATTCTTTAACCTGTTATGTCATAAAATTGTTGTGAAGGTGGAATAAGATAATAAATATTGAATTATATGAAGTAGTACTTATACAGTAATCCCTTACTTTTCCAACAGCTCCATCTACGTACAGATTCCTCTTTTATGAAATTCTAGTATACACAGTTTTACTTCTATAAATCTTTTTAGTTATCCTAGAGAATTTTGAGTGAGTGTGCTTGAATTATAAATTACAACAATTTGAGATACAGGATTAGCTATTAACATTTAAAAAGATATTTTGCATTATTGTGTGATATTAGAACAAGGTAAAGTTAATTTTTCAGAATCTTGTTGGAAACTCTTCAGGGAAATTCTGAAAAGTTAGTTAGTAATGGCAAATAAGTATTAATTGTACAATATCAGTTACTTAGGTCATTGATTTTCTTTGTTTTTTCCAATTATAGTTGACATACAATATTATCTTAGTTTCAGGTGTACAATGTAGTGTGATTTTCAAATAATGGCAAGTGAATGTTAATTGTACAGTATCAGTTACCTAGGTCATTGATTTTCTTTTGAACTGTTATGTTATCTTCATTGATTTATTTTAGTGGTCTTTAAGAGGTATTTGTAAGACCTTTCATGACATTGGTTCCCTAGTCTTGCTTTTTTTCCTAAAGTCTTAAGTAAATTCATTCATAAAGTTCATTTTTACTAAGGGCTTGCTGTATAAGATTGAGGATAAAGCAGTGAGCTCACAGGAGAGAACAAAAGAAGCAAAAATACCTGGCCTCATGCAGCTTACATTTCAGTTGGTATATATAGACCATAAATAATATAAGTAAATCATATGTTAGTTGGTAATAGAACAATGAGGGGGAAAAAAGGGTCATGGGTTTGCAGTTTTTAACAAATGATTAGGAAAGATCTTACTGAGAAATTACATCTGGACAACGATCTGAAGGAGATTAAGGGAGGGAGCTATATTGTCAGCTGGGGAGGAGTATGCCAGCTGGTACTAAGGCCTTGAGGTAGAAATGTGTGGCATCAACAGCAAGGTCAGTAAGATTTACAATTGAGTGTGTGTGCGTGTGTGTGTTTGGGAGTGACTTACAATCTATTCATTCTAAGGACTTCCCCTCTTGGATGAAATGGGAAGTTGTTGAGGTTTTAAGCAGAATTCTACCACCAGAGTTTTCAAAAACACATCCTTGGAAATGACAGAGGAAATACTGTATAAATAAAGGATATTAAATATTATTATTCCTCTACTGAAGTATAGGTTTTTATAATCAGGCAAATATATTTTAAAATATACTGCCAATAAGGACTTACATAAGGATACAAATGTGCTGGGAAACCTCACAGTAGTTTTTTGTTGTAGTGTTTTTTTTCATTTAAAAGAGCATGGGAAGGTAGGTTTATTTTTGGGTTAACTAGTATAGCTTTTTAAAATGGATGATGATCTGTTATGACATGATCTTTCAAAAAGTTAATTGTGGTGTCATAATTAATATTACAGTGTATCACTCCTGGTAATGAAGTGAGTGGTAAAGGAGATGAACTGAAACATGTTCACTTGAGCAATAATAATTTACTATAATGAGTGTGGGATAAGAAATAAAAAGCTCTGCATCTTTTCTATGAAGCAATTGCTCTTTCAAGTTAAGTAACCATGTAATTGTAAAAAATTTATGGTAAGCGTATTCTTTTTCATTTCCATCAAGTGTTGGTAGTAATTTTTTAGGTTCCAAATTACAAAATTTTACCTGAGTGGACGTGTACTGTTTAATTTAAAGTTCAGCCTAGAATGTGTTTGCCAGTGATTGGTCTTTGAATACATTTACCCTTTCTTTTTCTTTTGACTCCCCTCATCTCTCTGCTTTCCGTGTGTTCAATGAATCAGCTTTTTCCTCCTCCATTTCTCATATTTTTAATCTCTTGTATTCCATATAGATGAGATCTGGTCAAGATAATCTTGGTTGACTAACTTAAACTAGATTAGTCGGAAGAGTTACCAAAACAGTTGTTTTGAACAATGAACTTTTCTGCCAGTATTGCTATGTTGAACAATTCATATTTCTTAACTTGGTTTTTAGAGCTTTTTACAGTCTGTATTACCTTCTGACTATATCCCTCCCTGTCCTGACCAGAATGTTTTATTTACCATCCCCCAAATAATACTCAATAATCTGTAAGTACAGTGCATGCATAAGGTGTAAGTATGTCTCAGGCTTTTCCATGTCTCCATTTTTGCTTGTGCCATTTCACCTTCTTCAAATTCCCTTTGTCCTCTTCTCCACCTATGCAAATTCTACCCATATTTCAAGACCAAATTCATATTCAACCTTCTCAATAAAGCCTATTTTGTCCACTTGAGCCTCTTTTTGCTTCCTTTGAATTTTTATAGAAATAATCATTGGTAGTTGACCATAAATTTTTATAGCTAGCTTTGAACTATTACTTGCCTGCTATTAGTCAAGGTTCTCCCCCGAAGCAGACCCAATGGGATATGTGTATGTCTATACACACATATAAAAAGAGGCTTATTGTGAGTAATTGGCTCATGTGATCATGGAGGCTGCCAGTCCCAAGATCCATGGGGTGAGTCAGCAAGATGGAGACTCAGGAGAGCTGAGCAATGATGTAGTTCCGGTCTGAAGGCTCTCAGGCTCGAGGCCTAGGAAGGGCTGATGTTTCAGTTTGAATTTGAAGGCAGAAAAAAGCCGACATCCCTGTTTGAAGACATTCAGGCAAGAGGAATTCTCTCTTAATATTTTATTTTGCTGTTAATATACATGCCTTATCTTGCCAGCTAGGAAATAAGCAACTTGAGAGCAGGGAGTGCAAGTCATATTTGCTTGTTTTCCATCCATGAGTATAGCATCCTGACAGAGTAGGTACATGTACACACTTTATAAAACCGTAATATTTTAGAGCTGGAAAGAGCCTTTGAGGTTATCTTGGCTTAGAGTTGGGGAATCAAGAACAGCTTTAAAACAGGGAGATTAATAATATACCACTTTTCTTGGTTATTAGAAGAATAAAATGAGATAATGTAATATGTGTGAAAACTCTATCAGGGGTGTCCAACCGTTTGGCATCTCTGGGCCACACTGGAAGAAGAGTTGTATTGGGCCACACATTAAATACATTGTGACACACAATCACACACACACAAAAATTTCATAATGTTTTAAGTAAATTTACGATTTTGTGTTGGGTTGCATTCATAGCCATCCTGGGCCGCACGTGGCCAGCAGGCTGTGGGTTGAACACCCCTGTGAGTCTAAGTAATTTATTAAATAAAACTTTTATTTTGTGTGTAGGTTTGTTTGTTTTGCTTAGATCGTGAATCAAAATTATTGGAAAAAAGTCCTTCAGTTTACTAAATTAAATAGTATTCCTGAATGGAGAATTTACCTTTTTCTTTCTTTTTTTCTCCTCTCTTTTCATTTAAAAATGTATATGATACATCAGTTACTCATACTCACAAGTATGTCCAGAATGAGAACAGATTTAATTTTAGGTAAAACACACTATCTGACATATTGAATTTATTGATTCATATAGAATATTCCAATTAGGTGTTCATACATATGACATCATAACCAAGTGGCAGCTTTAGCTTTGGACCTGACTGTATTGAAGCTGGAGGTTGAAGCTATAAAAGTTGAAGTTATAGTATCTAAACATTAGATACTTTAATTTGAACTTAAATACTCTTCTTTAGAAGTCTACAGTTGTGGGAACTTGGTATTGATTATTTTCATATGTTTTCATTTAATTTTTCTTCTTCCTAGACTTTCTTGTAATCACGTCTTAAAGCCTTCAAGATGGTACTAGCAGACCTTGGAAGAAAAATAACATCAGCATTACGCTCTTTGAGCAATGCTACCATTATCAATGAAGAGGTATGTAAAATACATGAAATATGTATTATTGCACATCATCACTAGCATTGGGGAGATGGATTATTAGTAATCTCTGTGTTTATATTTATCTTGATATTGATTTAATGCGTGTAGATAAAAACCTAAAATGGATATACTGGTGTTTTTCTATCGAGAGTCGACTATTGTAATATTAATTTCAACTTTACATAAAGAATTGCAACAGAACAAAACCTTAACTTACATGTAAAAATGACATACGCTTTATATTTTGAAAATAGCTTAGATATGTAAGAATACTCTTGCTTTTTCTCTTGAAATAGGCCTAAGATTTTTGTATCCTGCCTCTTTCTTCTTGGCTAGGCCTGTGTGTACTTGACCTTTTCTCCTTGACTTTTATTTAGCATTCTTATATAAGGCTAATATTTTTATCTTTACTATTTTGATTTATTTTCTCTGAAGCCTTCATTCAGTTTTTTGGAGATTTTGTAAGATGACTGCTTGTATGGTATCTGAAATATTCTTCTTCCTGGCTTTATTGTTTTAAGATTTTTCTTTCTCCCGTTTTTCCCCAGACATTGTATTTTAGTGGTTTGTCAGTTGATAAAAGGTGATTATAATCCACAAGAATACTTTATATTTTGTGTTACCAATGGAAAACTACTGAATTTTGTTTTGGAAGACCTTGTTTAGCATCCTACTTAGTAGCTGTGTGATAGAAATTTGGGCAAGTCAATTTCAGATTCCTTAATATATAAAATGAGAAAATAGCATTTATTTTACAAGATGGTTTTAAGAATCAAAATAAATAATAGATAAAAAATACTTTTGGAGGGGTGGTGTGATAGAGGATATCTGTAATAGTATGAACAGTTTTTTTAAAAAGTACTTTCTGACGTGGAGGTTTGAAAAAATTCTAATGTTGAATTTGATATCAACACAGTAATCTAATGCTATTAAATAATTTGGGGACCATATTTGAGCTCAGCTAGTCCAACCTCTCATTTAATAGAAACAGAAAGTCAGTTACACATGTTTATTTATTGGAAGAACCAGGATTAGAATCTTTTCTCTAATTCCTCATCCAGAGCTTTTTATTATTAAGTAATAAATCATAACTTAAACCATTGTTTAATCTTTGGAACTCAGAATAAATAAAATAACAGCTTTGTATCTATTGTAAAGAAAAAAGAAACTAGAAAGAAGAGGTTGGTGGGAAGTAGAATAACAGGTATTGCTTGAATTGGTAGCTTTTCTGTTCCTGTTACTATGCTGCTAGGGAATTGACAGGAAGCAGTCCCTCAAATGAAAGATCAACTCCATTTTTATCAGATCCCTTTAAACGAGGGCTAGGGAAATCTGATAAGCCTCTTAGGACACATGAAGTTGAAGATGAGGGTTCATTTAAGAAGTATTTGAGGGCCTATGTTTTAGCTGGCATCAGGAAAATAGCAGTGAACAAAATAGACTAACATCCAGGCCCTCATGGAGCTACTGTATAAATACTTATTTACATAAGCAGCAAAAGCCTCATCTTAAGATTATAATCTTTTAATCACAATGCCTTGCCACTCAACAAATATGTGATGATAGTGAGTTATTAGTGGAGGAGCATTTTCTTTTTACTTTGTTCCTCTGCTCTAAATGGAAATGGTAAAGCTGTTAGGTCAGACTAGATCATTTTCTTTTGTTACCTTTTCCTCCATGCTAGTCTGGTCAAGCAGATATTGTGAATATAAAATGTTATATATCAGCAACAGGAGGTGTTCAACATAAAAAACTTCAAAACACTATCGTGTAGTAACTTTCGCTTGTATATTGTCTTTGTTATTACTTTAATATATGAATGAAATTGTAATTAATACTTAGTTGAATAAAACTAAATTGAATGTCTTATTTTGACAAAATGACTAGACATTTAATAAGATGATCTCTCTAACCAGTAGTGTAATATTGTTTTTATTAAGCTATGTTAGTATATGATGACTGATCAACTGTTGTTTTACAAGATTGAAATGATATACTGAGCATTTTAAATTTTTATTATTTATTTGCAGGTATTAAATGCTATGCTGAAAGAAGTATGTACAGCATTATTGGAAGCAGATGTTAATATTAAACTAGTGAAACAACTAAGAGAAAATGTAAAGTAAGTTCAATTAATTAAACAGGCAAAACTAAGTTTGCTAGGATGAAAAGCTGACTAGAAAAATCTACTGTATCATGAAATGTTTCTGCTATACAGCAGTGGAAAAGAATCAAATTCATGTTAGAAGATTGTGTGTATAGCATGTTTTCATAATGATTGTTCAAAAAATAAACTACATGTGGCTTTCATTTAATTATGGATTTCTTTCCATTTTACTACTGTATTTGGGTGGATTTAATCATGTACCATATAGTATTTTATTATAAAAACTTTTTAACATTTTAGATTCCTTATAGAACAGTGGTGCCATTTCATCATCTTTAGGCTCAAGATGGCATTAATCAGTCCCCTTCAATATTGGAGAATTGTCTTCTCTCTTGTTTCCCTTTTGGTTTCTTTGTCCAAATTTGAATGAAGGAGTAATGTGTGGTCTCAGTTTTTGTGTTCATTGGGAAGGACACTGACTGGGACAGGGCACACAGAATAATGTAGGCAACTCTGTTAACTGCTTGAATCCTAGCCCTTGTCATGCTCCGGCCATCCTTCCTTTTCATATTATCAGACTGGATAATAAATGTGGAACTACTAGCATTTAAACATGTAGGACTAGAGAAATTAGTCTTGTTTTCTGCTAGGTGTAAAGATATCTAAAGTATATATGCTGCAAGAAAAATAAATACAATTAGTACTTTGCAGTGATAAGAAAACAAATTAATATTTAGATTAAAAAAAAAGAGCCTTGAAAAACTAACCAAAGTCTTGCATTTGATATTTCATGGTAAATTTTTTATGGTACAGGCTTTTGAATTTGTAGTAATTATATGCATGTTAATTAGAAGGCTATTAATATGAATGATTAAATGGTCCTACATTCTTTGGGGCAGAAACTTATTTTTTAGAGTCTCTTAACTGGCTTTTCTCCCTCCTACCCCCAAATACCATCATCATGAAGGTCTGCTATTGATCTTGAGGAGATGGCATCTGGTCTTAACAAAAGAAAAATGATTCAGCATGCTGTATTTAAAGAACTTGTGAAGGTAAAAGTATATCAAGACTCTGCTACATTTCTCTGTAGACTCAATGGATAAGAACACATTAGCACTGCAAACAGAAGTACTTTTTTCTGTTTTTATAGACTATTCATCTATGCTAAAAAATATTGAGGATTATTAACTTTTCTAAAGAGGATTATTTTTATTGCAGACTTTTCTGAATATAAAATTCTGAGTACAGATATGAAGGCCAGCACTATTCCTGCAAAAAATGCCAAAGCCATGTTCCAAAAAGTTAATATCAGCTTTTACCTGTCAAAGGTCCTACTTTTGTATAGAAAATCACCCCAGGCAAATGTTCTTTTCTACACTGTTCATTGTATACAGAATTCCCTTTGAAAAGACCAAGTATCCTAACTCTTGCCTAGATTATGCTCAATTTTGAATTAGCAAAATTTTGTTTTGCATGTAGTAAATATAACCTATGTAATAAATATTTCCCTGTCCCACCCTAGAACTGATATTGCAGATGCTGTCATGAAAATTAGGGTGAACATCCTAGAGCTTTAAAAAATATGAATGGGTTTAATGTTAGGGGAAGAAAAAAGAAAAAACTAAAAAACTCTTTTTTAAGAGCAACAGATGTCTGTTAGTGGTCTCCTAATATTTTTCCCTATGTCGTGTGATTAGTTTCATTTACTCTTTTGGTTCCTGCATAGCTGATTAGTACTTTGCAAAACTCTAGTTATCTCGGATGGCTGTGTCACATCACTTCAGTTTAGTTCTGTAGACTAATTAATAAATAAGGAAATTTGGAGCAGAAAGGGATCAGAGAATTTACCTAGTCATACTTCTCAGTTTTCATTGGAGAAAAGTAAGATAGCTAGTAAGTGGCAGACCCAAGTCTGATCTCCAAATTCCTTGTGTAGGACTGCTCACATTATTTCCAGATTGCTTTTCATCTAGCACAGGAGAGGAACACAGAGTGAGTAAAAATTGTTATTTTTAGGGATTGGCATCTGTAGGCAATTCTGGAGCATCAAGTGCTTCATTAAGAAGTGTTTATTGAGCATCTGCCTTATTCCAGGCAGTGTGCCAAACACTGCTTATAGCAGAGATGAGTAAGACTTGTTTATATACTCAGAGCTTATGGTTCAGAGCAGTGGTGTACAAAGTAAGGTCAAATTGTTTTTACAATAACACTAAATCATTATTTGCCTTTTTTGTCTCTTTTACTGTGTCGATATTTGCATTGATGGTGCAAACACAATTGTGGGTAAAGCCATTGAGTAAAACTCCTTAGCAGGAATCAAAGCAGTGATACCAAACTATACTGGCAGTCATACTCTTTACTACACACTTGCAGTAAAAATAAAAAAATAAAAAATGCCAGTTTCACTAAGAATGTCTTTGAAGGTCCTGGCCGGGTAGCTCAGTTGGTTAGAACATCATCCTAATATGCCATGGTCATGGGTTTGATCCCCAGTCAGGTCATATACAAGAAACAACCAATGAATGCATAAGTAGAACAAAAATCGATGTTTCTCTCTCTCCCTTCTTCCTCCCTCTAAAATCAATAAAAAAAAAATTTTAAAAGGAATATCCTTGATAAAGCAATAAAAATTATTAGTCGTGTTAATCCTTGACCCGTGAGTATACATGTCTTTATAAGATTTTGCGTGATGAAAGGGAAAATACATAGAAAGCCCTTTGGCTGCATACTGAAATTTGATGGTTGATTTGAAAGCATGTGTGTGATTGATTGTAAGCCACTTTTTTTCTAGATTACCATTTTTATGTGAACTAACAAAAGACAGATGATCTATGGTTATTCAGACTTGGGCATTTGGCAGATATTTTCTCCAAAGTAAATAAAGTGAGCCAGTCACTTTAGGGCAAATAACTAACAATATTGTGACCAATGATAAAACTCAAGCTTTTAAGTGAAAACAAGAAATTTATATCTCCACCATGAGTTTGACAGTGTCCTAATATTTACTTTTCTGATGTCAGTACATTGATATTAATAAATAAAATTATTTGATGTTTTATAGTGAATGTGAACCCCAGTATTTTCAAAATGACTAATGTATGAAGTTAGAAAATCACACACCAGTATACGGTCCATGCAAAGTGCAAGGTACAATAACAGATTTTAATGTAATTGAACAGATTTTTCAACCACTGTGGTGCAAGAATTTTTAAAACATGTAATACCTGATTAGTCAGGGGCACTGACCTCTTTTCCTTTAGACTGTCTAAAAAATGACCACAGCCAACACAATACTAGCTGTTTGGTGTGAATGAATAAAAATTACACCTATTTTTTTGTCAGATCAGCAAAAAATATATTTTTTGGTGTGCCACAGAATTTTAGTAATTAGTTGATACGTGCCATGAGGTGAAAAATGTTGAAATTCACTGTAATAGAGTATGAAAGTTTATATGGTTTCAGATTTCACATTGTAGCTACCTTTACAAACTACCACCATTATAAAGGAGCCCTGAGACTAAAAACTTCAGTACTGCTATTATAAGGTGCAGCTGGAAAAGTGGATTTATAAAATAAGAATTCATATAGTAAGTTCATAGAGAGCTGATTTGGCCATGAGATATAGAGAATGTAAACATAGGGTAGCAACAGTGTTCTGAATGGCTCTAGAAGGAAAGGGAGTGGATTTATTTATGTATTAAAAATTTTATTTATTAATTTTAGAGAAAGGGGGAGAGAGAGAGAGAGAAAATGTCGATTAGTTATCCCATCTTTTTATACATTCATTGATTGCTTCTTGTATGTGCCCTGACTGGATATTGGACCTGCAGCCTTGGTGTATTGAGGCAATGCTCTAACCAAGCTATCTGGTGAAGGCTTTGGATTTAAGTTTAAGATAGATTTTGTCTATTTCAGAAGTTTCCTTAAGGCTAGGTCTGTGCCTGGGAAAGAGATGGTAAAATGTGTGTTATTTTCCTCCCTTCTCTCCAAATGAATTTCCTCAAAACTCAGGTGTAACATGGATTATGCAACATTTATGGTATCCTTTAGCATGGGCTTGGCAAACTTCCTCTTAGGGACTAGATAGATTAGGTTTTGTGGGCTATATGGTTTCTGTTGCGGCTACGCAGGTCTGCTGTCGTAGCGCAAGAGCAGTAAGTGGGCATGGCTATGTTCTGGTAAAACTTCTTTTTAAATGTTTTCTTACTTATTATAAGTATGTTCAGTTGTTTTTTAAAGATTTTTTAAATTTATTTTTAGACAGAGGGGGAGGGAGAGAGGAAGAGAAGTAATCAATGTGTGATTGCCTCTTGTGTGCCCCTTAATGGGGACCTGGCCCGCAACCCAGGCATGTGCCCTGACTGGGAATGAAACCGGTGACCCTTTGGTTCACAGTCCAGTGCTCAATCCACTGAGCCACACCAGCCAGGGCCAGTAAAACTTTTATACGTGTAGTTTGCCAACCTCTGGTCTAGGACATTAACTACTCTTAATGGCTTTATTATTACATGGAGATAAATGTTTCAAGCTTCAGACAACTGACTTGTAAATGAGTCAGTTTGTTACTTGGGGAACTATTCATATGTGAATGTTAATTTTCCACTGAGATTATAAAATTGGTGATTATTTTTTACTAATCCTCTAAATATAATGAATTTATAGAACAGTAGATCTTCAGCTTTGGAGAATTTGACATTTGACTGACCTGGAAAGTCTTCACATACAATTTGTAATTTTGTTCATACATAAACATGTCAAATTAAACATCAGGATAGATGCTGTCTCAATATTGTAGCTGTTAGCCACCTGTGGTTATTGAGCACTTTTGTAATATGGCTAGTCGAAATTGAAATGCGCTGTCGTATGAAATACATACAAATTTGAAGACCTAGTATGGGGAAAGGGAATATTAAAATATCTTATTTTTTAAATGTGGGCTACATGTTGAAATGTTAACATTTTGGATGTATTGGGTTAAATACAATACTAAAATTGATATCAATTGTTTTGCTTTTTAAAATGCCGTTACTAAAAATTTAAAAATTCACTTGTGGCCTTAACAGATATTTCTATATTTCTGCAGTGCTGATGTAGATTGCTCCTTTGGCTCAAATTTGGTCTTACATTTTATTCACATTCTGCTTTGTCCTAAATAATGTTTTGAGATCCTTACTTTGAATTTGTTTGGAAATACAGGCTTGTTTAGGACTTCACAGTGAATTATTTTAAGTTCTTAAATGTCACTATGTGTATACAAAGGGAAATAGAGTTGTATTAGAATGGTAGAATTATGGCTGCCTTTTATGCCAAATGTCCTTAGATTATTTTTACAGTTTAAAAGTTGTGGAGAGAGGGGTTTTGAATATCAGCATATGTTAACCTGATTTTATGTTTATTTTTGGAATATAGCTTGTAGACCCTGGAGTTAAAGCATGGACACCCACTAAAGGAAAACAGAACGTGATCATGTTTGTTGGATTGCAAGGAAGTGGTAAAACTACAACATGTTCAAAGGTAAATGATACTTAATTTTAAAATAAAGTAATAGAGAAGATACTCGTATAAATCAAATTTTATGTTAAAGCCAGGCTTTATAGTATTTTTGCTTTATGGTTTTGTGTTACTTGATGTGTCTGTTATGTATTTGTAATGGCTTTTTGTAGGATAGGAAGAAGTAATCCCATGGTCTCTCTTGTAAGAATGATAGACTTCAGTATAATTTGCTATTTCTTTCACCAAAAAGACTTCCTGTCCTTTAAGTAGTTGAGTATATGATTTTTTAGAGGAAAAAATGGAGAATTTACCTTATCTCCTATGACTCAAGACTCCCTTTCCACAGTGTCATACCCAGCATAATACAGATCTTTATTTTTCTTATCCTTAATGCTAATTTTTAATTCATTATACCACCTTTTCCTCCAGAATTGGGTGCCTCTACTTTGTTACCACATTTTGTTTCACAAGCATCAACTATGTTACAGTTTAGGAAAAAACAAAGGATTATTTCTTAGAGGATTATTTTATTATTTATACTTAATTAGCACTAATAGTAGTTAACATTTTTTTACTTAAGTCATTTGTTGCTTGATCATTTTATATCTTTTGAATGTGACTCTATGGCAGGTAGCATTTAAACTATGCATTTAGGAAATTTGCTGTATTCAAAATTTAATATTACTCTTAAAAGAATATAAGTAGTTTTACTTCCTAAGTAACAAGGATAAACAAAAAATTATATAATAATTTGTATTTATTGATATTATTTTTTTTAATCTTCCTTTCCCAGTTAGCTTACTATTACCAGAGGAAAGGTTGGAAGACTTGTTTAATATGTGCAGACACATTCAGAGCAGGTAATGTGTTGAAATTTGAAATTTTGGTTTTTGTAATTTTTATTTTTAAGTTTGAGGACTCATTAACTCTTTATCTCGTAGGGGCTTTTGACCAGCTAAAACAGAATGCTACTAAAGCAAGAATTCCATTCTATGGAAGGTGGGTTTCTGTTTTTTATCTTGATACTCAAGTGCCTCATCTTGTCTGTCTTTTCTTCTTTATACTGTCTGGTCACATTGTAATCTATACCTATAAGCTTAAATCCTGTCTGGAACAAAGTTGGGATATAATTAATAAATTGTTAACTTTTATTATAACATGATCCTTCTGATTCGGCCTGATAAATTAGAATTGACATTGTTTAATTTTTAATTATGACTTGCCTGCTCATCATCCTTTTGCATTCTTTCTGACCTCCTTCTGCTTCTCTATTCTTATTGCTTCTGTCAAGACCTATCTGAAGGAGCATTCCTCCATTAAACACACAATGGTGAATTCCATATTCTTTCTTCAGTGTATCATTTTAAAAAGTTCGATCACCTTTAAATGGCTTATAATCTACAGATATCTTAGAGATTCTTATCATTGCTCTCATTCCATTTATATGTTGCTATTCTGTTAGTTTGTATATGTTATAATGATTAATTAAAAGAAATGAGTCCTCAAGATCTGGAAGCAGCCCAAGTGTCCGTCACTAGATGAGTGGATAAAAGAACTATGGGATACTTACATAGTGGAATACTACTCAGCTATAAAAAAGAAGAAAATTTTACCCTTTGTGACATCATGGATGAACTTGGAGACCATTATGCAAAGTGGAATAAGCCAGTCAGAGAAAGACAAATACCATATGATTTTACTCATATGTAGAATCTAATGAACAAACTGAACTAACAAGCAAAATAGAGAGAGACTCATAGATAGGGAGTAGTCTGACAGCTCTGGGAGCGTAGAAGAGGTGGAGGGATCAAGCAAAAAGATTGTCGACTCATGGACCTCATGGACTTGGATACCAGTGTGTCGATTATGATGGGGAGAATAAGGGTGATAAATGGTAATGGAAAAAAAAAGAAATGACTCTAGACTGAATTAAGAAGGACTTGTTTGAGGAAATACTGTTTTTCTTTATTAATGTAAATAGTTTTTATAATCCTCAGAAAGAAAGTTTAAAGCTAAAATTTGAAGTAATTAAATAGATGACATTATTTCATTAGGCATTTCCTTCTCCTTTTTGGCTAACCAAAAAAGCTAGTGAACTTTGGTTATGATATGGTCTTTTTTATTTTCTTTTATCTATTGAATTTGATATATACTGTATGTTGTTTTTTTAAAATTAATTATTTTTTTTTCAAATACATTTGTCTCTTCCTACCCCCCACCACTTTCCCTTGCCCCCTCCCTGACTCAGCTCTTCCCCTTTGGTTTTGTCCATTAGTCCTTGCTATATATTCCTTGACTTTCCCCTTCCCTTCCTTTCCCCCCCCCCCGCACTCCTTCCCTCTTGTCTCTGTTGGTTTCTTTTTCTTTCAGTGTTGCTGGTCTTACTGTCCTTGCATGTTTGTATTGTTGGTTAGGTTCCACTTATAGGTGAGATCATATGGTATTTGTCTTTCGCCCCCTGGCTTATTTCGCGTAGCATAATGATCTCGAGTTCCATCCATGCTGATGCGAGGTTTAGTAGTTATTTTTTTTTCTGCTGCGTATATTCCATTGTGTAAATGTACCATTGTTTTTTGATCCAGTCATCTACTGATAGGCATTTAGGTTGCTTCCAACACTTGGCTATTGTCAATTGTGCTGCTATGAACATTGGGGTGCATAGGTTCTTTTGAATTGGCATTTTGGGATTCTTAGGGTATAGTCCCAGCAGGGGAATCACTGGATCAAAAGGCAGTTCCATTTTCAGCTTTTTGAGGAAATTCCACACTGCGTTCCACAAAGGCTGCACCAGTCTGCATTCCCACCAACAGTGGACTAGGGTTCCCTTTTCTCCCCAGCCTCGCCAGCACCTGTTGTTTGTGGATCTGTTTATGATGGCCATTCTGACCGGTGTGAGGTGGTACCTCATGGTGGTTTTGATCTGCATTTCTCTGATGGCTAGTGATGCGGAGCATCCTTTCAAATGTCTCTGGGCCCTCTGTATATCTTCCTTGGAAAAGCGTCTGCCCAGGTCCTTTGCCCATTTTTGGATTGGATCTTTGTCTGCTTGGAGTGGAGTCGAGTGAGTTCTTTATATATCTTGGAGATCAAACCTCTATCTGATGTATCATTAGCGAATATATTTTCCCATAGGGTTGGCTCCCTTTTCATTTTGCTGATGTTTTCTTTTGCCATGCAGAAGCTTCTTATTTTGATGAGGTCCCACTTGTTTATTCTTTCCTTTATGTCCCTTGCTTTAGGAGACATATCAGTGAAAAAATTGCTGCGTGGGATATCTGAGAGTTTCCTGCCAATGTTCTCCTCTAGGACTTTGATGGTGTTGCGACTTCCATTTAAGTCTTTGATCCATCTTGAGTTTATTTTTGTGTATGGTGTCAGCTGATGATCCAATTTCAATTTTTTGCATGTAGCCGTCCAGCTCTCCCAACACCATTTGTTGAAGAGGCTATTATTGCTCCATTTTATACTTCTGCCCCCTTTGTCAAATATTAGATGCCCATAGAGACCTGGGCTTATTTCTGGGCTTTCTGTTCTGTTCCACTGGTCTATGGGTCTGTTCTTGTGCCAGTACGAGATTGTTTTGAGTATAGTGCCTTTGTAGTATAGTTTGATGTCTGGTATTCTGAGCCCTCCTACTTTGTTGTTCTTTCTCAAAATTGCTGCGGCTATTCGGGGTCATTTATGGTTCCATATAAATTTTTGAAATGTCTGTTCTATTTCTGTGAAATATGTCATTGGTATCTTAATAGGGATTGTGTTGAATCTATAAATTGTTTTGGGTAGTATGGACATTTTGATGATATTAATTCTTCCAATCCATGTGCACGGTATATGCTTCTATTTATTTCTGTCTTCCTTAATTTTTTTCTTCAATGTTGTATACTTTTCTGTGTACAGGTCTTTTACCTCTTTGGTTAAGTTTATGCCTAGGTACTTTATTTTTCTTCTTGCTATATCGAATGGTATTTTTTTTCTGATTTTTTCTTCTTCCTTTGCATTGCTGGTGTACAAAAACGCCTTTGATTTCTGAATGTTGACTTTGTATCCTGCTGTTTTGCCAAATTCACTTATTAGGTTGAGGAGTTTTTTGGTACAGTCTACAGGGTTTTCTATGTACACTATCATGTCATCTGCAAACAATGATAGCTTTACTTCCTCTTTTCCTATTTGGATGCCTTTTATTTCTTTTTCTGCTCTGACTGCTGTGGCTAGGACTTCCAATACGATGTTGAAAAGAAGCGGTGAAAGCAGACATCCTTGTCATGTTCCCTATCTTAGTGGGAAAGCTTTTAGTTTTTGCCCGTTGAGTATGATGTTGGCTGTAGGTTTTTCATATATGGCCTTTATTACATTGAGGAATGCCCCATTTATTCCCATTTTGCTGACTGTTTTGATCATAAATGGGTGCTGTACCTTATCGAATGCTTTTTCTGCGTCTATGGAGATGACCATGTGGTTTTTGTCTTTTTATTTTTGTGATGTATTACGTTTATTGATTTGCGTATATTGAACCATCCCTGCATTCCCAGGATGAATCCCACTTGATCGTGGTGGATAATCTTTCGAATGTATTGTTGGATGCGGTTTGCCAATATTTTGTTGAGGATTTTAGCCTCTATGTTCATCGGCGAAATTGGCCTGTAGTTTTCCTTCTTTGTAGGGTCTTTATCTGGTTTTGGGATTAGGGTGATGCTGGCCTTGTAAAAAGAGTCTGGGAGTCTTCCTTCCTCTTGGATTTTTTGGCATAGTCTGAGAAGGACAGGGGTTAGCTCTTCCTTAAATGTTTTGTAAAATTCTCCTGTGAAACCGTCCGGCCCTGGGCTTTTGTGTGGCGGGAGTTTCTTGAGTACTGCTTCCACTTCCCCAGCTGGTATCGGTCTGTTCAAGCTTTCTGTTTCTTCCTCCTTCAATGTTGGAAGATTATACTTTTCTAAAAATTTGTCCATTTCATCCAGGTTTTCAAATTTCTTGGCATATAATGTTCATAGTAGTTTCTGACAGTCCTTTGTATTTCTGTGATATCAGTTGTTATTTCTCCTCTTTCATTTCTGATATTATTAATTTGGGTCCTCTCCCTTTTTTTCTTGATGAGTCTGCTTAAAGGCTTGTCAATTTTATTTATCTTTTCAAAGAACCAGCTCCTGGATTGGTTGATCTTTGAATTGTTCTTTTCGTCTCTATGTCATTCAGTTCTGCTCTAATCTTGACTATTTCCTTCCTTCTCCTTGCTCCGGGATTTATTTGTTGTTGTTTCTCCAGTTCTTGAAGTTGTAGTGTGAGGCCTTTTATTTGAAATGTTTCTATCTTTTTTAGGTAAGCCTGTATTGCTATGAACTTCTCTCTCAGGACCGCCTTTGCTGTGTCCCATAGGTTTTGGACTGTTGTCTGTTCATTTTCATTTGTTTCCAGAGATTTTTTGATTTCTTCTCTTATCTCCTTATTGACCCATTCATTGTTTAATAGTCTACTGTTCAGTCTCCATGAGTCTGCAAGTTTTTGAAGTTTCTCTTTGAGGTTGATTTCCAGTTTCAATCCCTTGTGGTTCGAGAAAAAGTTTGGTATTATTTCGATTTTCCTGAATTTGCTGAGGTTTGCTTTGTGTCCTATCATGTGGTCTATCTTTGAAAAACTGCCATGAGCATTTGAAAAGATTGTGTATTTTTCTTCTTTGGGATGTAAGGTTCTATATATGTCAGTTAAGTGTATTTGATTCAGTGTGTCATTCAGCGCCACAATATGTTTATTAATGGTTTGTTTGGAAGATCTGTCCATTTTTGACAGTGGAGTGTTGAAATCCCCTAGTATCATTGTGCTGCTGTCTATGTCTTTTTTGAAGTCGTTCAACAATTTCCTTATATACTTGGAGGCCCCTGTATTGGGAGCATATAAGTTTACAATGTTGATGTCTTCTTGATAGATTCTTCCTTTAAGTACTAAAAAGTGCCCCTCTGGGTCTCTTTTTATGGCCTTTGTTTTGAAATCTACTTTGTCTGATACAA